GCAAATTTGGCTGTTAGATACGCCATGCTAAACAACAAAGTTCTTAAGTACGGGTAGAAACCGCATAAGTATGAGCAACTGCGTTTTGAAATGTCATATACAGTTGTATTTGCTCAGTACTTACCGCCTTCGTTGTTTCCTGTAACATCTTCAAATATTCATCAAAGACTTTCTTTTTTTACGTGACTGCGTAGTTTTTATGATAAAAATGATTTTTAATTTTTAAAAACCGATAATAATGCAAGCGCGGTAAACTACTGGTAAAGTTGTATTCATTTTAAGAAAACTGAGCCAAAGGTTGCCAAATTTAAACACAAAGCGGTTGGTGAAGAAAATACGGTCTTTGGAGCTACAATACCTAAGCACAATGGTATTTGGCACGCTATTGGATGGACATTAAAAAGCAGACATCTCAGGAGCTGACCCAAAGTTTTGCCTCCTAAGGATGGGCCGCATGCGGCTCCATCTATGCCAGTTCATTTCGCAGATATCTCCTGTTCCAGTGTTCTACTGCGTATTTCTTGTTTTACGTAGTTTTATTCCATGTGTTTTGATCGGTATGTCCGTTTTTCACCGTGCTCAAAGACGATTCGTATTTCCACGGCTTCTTCTTAGTCTTCTGGCAAAGAGATTAAGAGTCAGAAGAAAAGAAACGACGTTTTAGGAGAAGATAGCTCTTCAAAAAATTTTGAAAGAAAACGCCATGTCAAAACAGTCCGCCATTATTGAATATCTGAGAGTGCAGTGCGGCACATCAAGAAGACGAAGACGGATGATAGCTTCCCCGGCAGTGTTAAGACCATTTCCATTGCCAGTAACAAGAGCACACGAGGAGGATGTACTCGGCCTTGGCGTTCAAAGATAACTACGAAGTAATATTAATGTTCCATGATGATAGTTGAAAGTATATTTGACGTCTGAACACTGATATAGGCAGGTATAAGCGTTTTTCATGAGTCTCAAGTATTCGCGGATTATAGCCTTTTGCGATAACTGTGGTTCCTTATCCCTCAAGTACTGGCGGCTGACTTTATCCATTAGAAAAGCCACTACTACTCAACGGCTGACAATCAGTAAAAAGCTTCTATCTCCAGTACAGAAAAACTGAATAGGCTACAGCTGGTTTTGGTAGTTTCCCAAACGCCCGGCTGTCCCAGCATTCATTTAATCTTTATGTGAAACAACGCTGCTTATTTATAAATGTATAATCTAATCATCCCACGTGCGGCAACCGTGGCTTAACTCCAGATACACTAGTTTACAGAGTCGATATGCATTCTTTGTTTTACTCTGCCGCAGGTTATCTAAGACCTCTTGAACATTTCTCGGGAACCCAAGAACCGAATTTCAATATGAGACGTTGTGTGGATGACTGTTTGCCTAATGTGCCAATAAATGCCTTTTAGTATTACGCATGTTGTCCCTACAGCCTGCGGCTCTCTCGCTCTTCTAAAGACCTTTGTAGAATAAACTTTACGCGGATGCTAATATTCTCAAATGGTAGCTTATACTGCAGTGGCAACGTGGGAAAATACTGAATTAAAGCATAAAAACTTCATAACTGTGTGGTAGTTGTGTTTATATGCTCAGGACACTTGTTATTCTAAAGTAACACTGGTCATGCTTCTTCGACCATTTTACCTGATTAGTAATATAACGACCCTATTAAGGAATTATTATTTCATCTCACATTCAATTTTAGACAAAATTTTTAGGGCGGTCTTAGGCTTGTACATCTAGAATCCAGATCAATGAGTAGGGCTCTCAAACTGTCCATTTAAGCTGCTAAAGTAGCCATAGGAAATGTAAGTAATTACCCTCTCCGTCATTTCCAAAATCACAAATGATCATTCGTTACATTTTAACAGAAATTACTACGCTGCTTTTAGTTTAACCCCAACCCCAACCCTAAAATCGTAGATAGTCTTTCAGACTCCGGTCGCTTTAACTCTAACCGCAAGCGTACCCTAAACCTAGTTCTCCCTGAATTTTACAAAATGCTATCCTTAGCATGAGGGATGTTCATTCTTGTGTCCTGACAAAGAAACTGATCGGAATCAAACTTCATCATGTTACAACCAATGCTTCATAGGTGGCGAGAACTGAGCGTTAAAAGCAATGCGACTAGGCTACTTTCTCATTATTGCTCACATGGTGTTATCGTGAGCAGCATTGATTCTATCGCTTGTTTTCGCAGTTGGTCTGCGGTTTTTTACATAGCCCTACTGCTACCTGTGTTGCATTCGACTTTATTTTCGACCCATTTGCCCTTCTCCATCTGATAACGTCTGCAGTACTCGACGGCAACCGTCCACAAAGCCTGTACTGGTGTCTGTTAATAGTTCCGCACGCAACTTATCATGCGCGCAAGTCGGCTCAGACAAAGTCGCGTGATTATTTGGCATGCATGTGTATTTTTTCTATCGTGAGACCACTTAAATGACATAGCTACACAACCCAGTAGTCGGTTAGGACTCAAAGTATTCTCAGCCAATGCTGTGCCCACAGTCTGCGCAATGCAGACAGGTCGACAAATGTTTAGTCCATATTCTTTAAAGAGTAATATCCTGTTGCCTTGAGAAAGAAAAAGAGTCCACTGCTATCAAAACTCTTTGGGCAGAATATCAACCAGAAATTCTAAAAAAACGGCAGACGGACGCTTTCCAATCGCTTTACGGGACCCACTCGTCCCGTTGTGACTTGGAGCTCTCTCTCTCTCTCAAGTCCAATTAGCAGTCGGAGAGCGGCGCATGATATGGGCAGCCGAAAGTGCTATTTTGCCTATTTTAAATGACCAGCCCACCAAATCGATCTTGTGCTGATCGATGTTTCATTTTCTGCTCTTACTATCTTAAAGGCGGGCTTAAAAGGTTTATCTGAAAGCAAAAGTCTTGAATAGCATTGTGTTTTATTTTGAGTGTCTGGCTACGGCCCTTCTGAGACATTGTTATATATGATCTACTGCCAGTTTTATTGCAGATTTGCCGATATTTTATTGCAGGTTTTGCGACTCATCTACCGCGATTTTGACTGTTTTATCGTCGTCCTGATTTTTATTGATAGTTTAATCGTCTTATTACTGCTATGGTCGTTTTATTGCGAATTCGCTGCGGTGTAACTATACGTCCTATCGCACGCTCATTGGCTGCTCCGCTTAGGGGTTTTTAGAGCCAAACAAACGCCGCATAAATAATTCTGTCGTAGCCGTTAATTTCACTGCAAAACAGTCTGGGTCTGGCAGCATCACTTTTTACAAGAACAATAAAGACAGCACGCGTGTGAAGCAGCTACATTAAATGACCATCTGCCAATTAAAAATCGTCCTACTGATTTTACTCCTGCAGTGCTAAGATAGTGATAAAATAGCGATTTGCTACAAAACTGGTTACTTTATAAAGACATACCGACTACCGCAACTGATTAATCTTATTAAATGTTAACCGAAATTCTTAAATGTTCTTGACTAGGGAGGTTTACTCAAGTGGGTTCTAAGGTTGATTATTTTGTGTTATAGTCTCGTAATGCCTTAGGCCCGCCAGAATGTTGGCTTTTGAATGCACTTTTTCGGCCACGTGTAAAACCGTATGCGACGGAAAATGGTTGTCTGAGAAGTATGTAGTTTGCTGATAGAAGCGAACAGGCGAGTTCCAAGTTGCAGTTCAGAAGACGAAGATGCGATCACTGGAACATGAAATGTATTGGCATGACGTTTCGGATTCTCACTCAAATCCATCACCAGAGACATTCGCAGATAAAGGTGATGGTGGCACCAGGAGTGCAGTATTTATAGCACGTGGCTGCCGTGGGACCGTATGCGCACTGCAATTAACAGTTGTCGCAATCACCTCTGGGGTCGTAATTGATGCGGTGGTGGCTTGTCGGTCCGAGTCCCTAATGGCCGTGATTTCGTCATCCGTGCTGGATGCTGGTATGACGATTGCTCGGCAAATTGGCTCACTGTCATTGTGATAATTGTTCGCTCGCGCCCTCCGCACGTGACTGATTCTCCTGCCCAGGGAAAATCTGAGCACGCAATATGGTACCGGGAGGTCATTGTGCTTGTTGATGGATTGCGGGCCTGAGAACCATGACTTGAGCAGCTCGCGGCTCACGCGGTTGTCATCCCTTTCGAGGATTTCCGCCTCTTGAAATCCGAAAATATGACCGGGTCCTGTCGAGTGTGCCGCCACCTGAGAGTTAGCGTCTCCCCGCCTCACTTCTGCTGCGTGCTCGGCAATTAACGTAAGGAATAATCTCTCAGTTTCTCCGAAATAGTATCTTTGTCCGCAACTACACCATATCCGGTAAACGACTCCAGACGTTTCCTGCCGTGACAGCGGGTCTTTTGGCCTGATGACTTGGCGCCTAATGGTTGCTTCCGGCCTGTGTGCAACCCCAACTCCAAGTGGAGTGAGAAGACGACTGACGGCTTCTGAGACCTTCTTCACATACGGAAGAGCCAGCTAAAATTTGGGACCGACTGCATTTGGTCTGTGGTGTCGTTGTCGTATGCACTGGTTGACAAAGTTGCGCGGGTAGATATTGACTCTCATTACCCGTCGAAGACATTGTAATTTAACAACCTTGTCTTCCATTTCACTGCAGTGCGTCTCAACGCGCCGGTATAGCGCCCTTACGCAACTGCGTTTGTGACTGATCGGGTGGTTGCTGTTGAAGTTCAAAATTTGCGTCGTATTTGTCGCTTTCCTGAACACTTTGGTTTTTAGGCCACCAACACCTTCGTGGCAGACGAGGACATCCAGGAAGGCCAGCTGATTGTTTTCCTTCCCCTCCATCGTAAATTGAATGTCGGAGAAAACGGTGTTGAGATTTTCTTTGAATGTCAGCACCTGATCCCGTTCGATGACAACAACGGTGTTATCTACATACCGAGCCCAGAATTTCGGCCTGTGGTGTAGAAAAACCAGCGACCCCAGCCGTTGTAGGACTGTCTCGGTTATAAGTCCCGAAACCGGCGAACCCATTGGCGTTCCGTTCACTTACTCGTAGATTGTTCCGTCGAACGTAAGGTACGTCTTGAGACAGAACTTCAGAAGCTGGATGATTTGGGCGTGTCCGAGGCTATTCTCCGTTTCGTCGTTTTTCTCTCGTAGGATTAGTTCGATGGTCTCGACTGCCAGGTCCTGTGAGATAGAAGTAAAAAGGGACGTGGCACCAAAGGAAACCATGGCATCGCTTGGCAGGAGACTTACTCCTTTAAGTTTCTCCAAGAATTGCGTTGACGAGCTGACTGTGGTGGTCGAATCGCAGGTCAGAAACGTGACACGTCGGGGCAGCCACTTTGCCAGTCCAGTCCGTAGGTTGATACGATAGGTCGGAGAGGATCGTCCTCTTTGTGTACTTTTGGGAGACCGTAAAATCAGGCTAGGGCCATTTCTTGTGCTCTCGCCATGCGTCGGTCGATTGGCGATATTGCACCTGAGTTCTCCATTGCCAACAGCGTCGCGTTAATCTCGCGTATCAGCGTTTTTATGAGGTTGGATTCGCAGGGGACATCGGACTGACGATCCTCCAACAAGCTTTTGGCTTTTTGATTGTAGTCTGCCCAGTTTAATACGACCGTTGAACGCCCCCTGTCCGTAAGCACGATAACGAGGTCGTTGTCGACCCTGAGTTCCCTAAGTACCTCGCGCTCGACCTTGGAATCACGTTGCGCGGCCTATGAGCCATGAGGAGGGAGGACACTCGGCGTCGAATGAGGTTCTTCGTTTCGTCTGTCGCTCCTGTCTGGCTGAGGATTGGTTCCACTGCTGCGATCATGTTCACAGGTTTGGCATCGGCTGTGTTGAATGAGGCCTCAAGCCGTAAAACCTGCATTTGTTTCTCCGTCAGCTGCTTTGACAACAAGTTGTGCACTAGTTTGTCGTCCTTTGATGACATTGGAGTAAGCAGCTTACGAACTTTGCTCTCTAGGACTGCTTCGTGTGTTGCTATATGTTCGCGCATTCCAAGGCAGCCACGTGCTATAAATACTGTACTCCTTGTGTCACCATTACGCTTATCTGCGAATGTCTCTGATGATGGATTCTAGTGACAATCGGAAACGTCAGGACAATAACTTTCTTGTTCCAGTTATCGCATCTTCGTCTTCTGAGTATGTACTTTCTTAGTTAATTTTTAATTTCTTTGGAAAGTAAAATTTATCCGGTGACACATGTGAATACGAACCCCCTCTCCAAAAAATAAAGGTGGACCTGCGCGTTAATTCCTGAAAGGAAAAATATTCCCGTGTTCTAACCCCTGCAATAACTCTAGTACAAAACTTAACTGTTGTCCAAATCTTGACCCTAATTCTACCCTAAACCGTAACTCTGCCGTTAACACTTACCACTACCTAAACTCTAAAAGTGATCCCAACTTGCCTTACGGCCAACTCTAAATCTGCCTCTAAGCCTATTCACTAGTCAAACGTTAACCTCAACCCTAAACCTAGCTTTAATTTTGCTGGAAGTTGGCCCAAACCCATCCGTATTGCATGTGGTTCCTGTCCTCATATCCTGTTTAGGGGCCACTTAAGCATTCCTTCCTAAGGGAAAACACATTTTAGAATTTCAGTTAACATTCCATGCCATTGTTCCTTAACTGTTCATTTATCAACATGCGGCCAACAAACTGAGAATCAGCCCTATTTCAGACTCTTTAGGCTTCAGATTCGTCTCTATGAATTTCTGCGCACGGTCTCAGTAGGTTCTTTTATTGCTGTTTTCAGGCAGGCTTTACTGATTGAATGGTTTTTATTCCTAGAAAAGTAGTGGGAGATCATAAATCATCCAGGGAAGTGTACATGACCACAACGGGCATTCCCACCACTAGGTCTCAGACTGATACTGACGCCCAGCGGGACACCAACGAAAATGTCTGGGTTGTCTACCGTGGGGGAAAAAAAACCTGTCGACAGTGAGAGACCACCAAGCGACAAGGGCGGCAAAGTGACGACTGTGGGGGTACGCAAATGGCTTCCGTGGAGGCAGAATCATTTTATGCCGTTGTCGTGGCCCCAAAGACCTACGTCAGGCCGGCGCATGTCCTCCAGTTGCGGGAAAGTGTCCCATTCATATTTCGTCTGCGTTTTTCCTCAAACAGAATTATAGAAACTCTCGTTGCGATTCGTTCTTCGTCTGTTTGTCTATTCATGTACAATTTTACTCTCCAGCTCGAAAACCGAGCTGACATTTACCATAACTCCTTTAAAGATGCGGAGAAATGTCAATGGAGTGACTGGCCATCTGAGAAACTGTTTTAAAGCCGATCGCCATGTAGATGTTTTTTTCGAAAGGTCGACCACAGCACGCAGAGAAAAAATGTTAAACGCGGACTGGGCCGCAGACCAACTGCAGTGTCCGCCGTTGGGGTCTTACGTAGGATGTCCGCAGACGGTGTACCCCCTTATGGATCTGTCGCTAGTAAGGAACCTGGACCGCAGCCATCAAGATTAGTCGTGGGGATCGGCTTGGAAAACCTAACTTTTGACACGCCCGACGTGAGGCATGTGATCCAAAGGTCCCCACTACGGGCTCTGCTGTGGGTGTGCTGTTCTAATTACGAGTCGAATTGGTCCGCAACACCCATCGCTAGGTTGCAAAGAAACCCCCATTGAGGGCTGAGGGTTAAGTGACACGCATAAACTTATGTTACCGCACTGCGTCAGCCGCTGAGCCCAAAGCCAAGACCAGCTGTCTGACAAGCTCGGGTACTCCACTGGAGCATAAAAATGGGAAGAGTGAAAGAGATCAACACGGGAGACGGCGTCTTCAAAGCCCATCGGCGCAGTCCTCACCTGACTTCGTTCCCACGGGCTGGGAGTCATGGCCTTTAGGGTTGCCAACTCGACCTTCGTACAACTGACAGACAGGTCGCAGCAGCTCCTCCTTGATGTGACCTTTATGATGCTTTCGAGCATACTATCACCGAACCGTCCTCATGAAAGTTAGGAACGTGCACTGGAGATCAGGTTGTGTGTGTGGAATAAGCAGAGGTGTTAGTCAGAGTTGTTAGTCCCTGTGTCCGCTCGTCTTAACGCTGTCTTTTCATCGGGACGAGACGGCTGAAGGAAGGGTGGGCATGACGCATGCTGCGAGGTCTGCCTCAAGACGAATTGTTTCACGAGTGGGTTGTGTGGTTGACTTCGTTGAACTCTTAGCCAGAGTGAGGCATTACGGCGTTCGTCGTTGTTAATAGCATCCCACCCCACAGCATACGAACTACAAAACCAGGAGAGACGCCAGGATTTCCTATCTAGGCACGTTCACTTTTGGGGTTTTCAACAGCTCCCGACTCGCTGCATTGCCCATTAGTTGGCAGATCTTAACTGCAGTCGTGCTATAATCATCTCTGTATTAAATACTAACTACAGCGCTGAGGGCGATAGGAAAACCTGCTTATGATATTAAGGAATACCACCAGCATGGGCTTGGAACACATGAGACGTGAAACCAGGTTCAAACAGTCATGGCGTCTAACATGGGACCATGGAATCGAGGGCCTACGTTTTTTGGCTCATGCCTTAACGTGACATTGACCGATCCGACCCAATTTCAAGCCAATATAAAGTCATTTGGTGTTATCGTGCAGAGCTGATAGGGAGACGGCACAGATCAACACTGTGGAGAGAGTTACCCGGAAATAAAGAAGCAAATATTCCCCAAAAAACCGCATTCTCGTCTGCATTCCCTGACAGATCTCATAAAATACTGACCGAAATTCCGAAGTGCGTTTTTGGTGTGGAAGGATTGCTTAAGGGTTTTCTTGCGTCGCATTTGCTTAATAATCCCAACAGGCCGGTGAGTTGGCTTTTGAAAGCATTTCTCCGTGGTCACCTGCAAAAAGCACACGCACTTAAAAAGCGACTGCTTGCGTAGCACGCATTTTCTCAATGAATCGGGGGGCCTTTTTAGTTTCAAGTGTATTTTGCAAAATATCTCCATAAAAAGCATTCCCTGGACTTACTTGGTAGCAAACCATGTTTTTGCAAACTTTTTGCCCGGAAACATGTTATTTGTGGCTTTAAAAAGTTTTTGATATGTGACTTATTTTGCAATCAACGTCCTGTTCCATTGATGTTTCAGGTTTTCAGTCTCCAAACGGTGTACTTTTTATATAGGGAAAAAACATACATTTCATGTTTCTAGTGAGAACATATTATACAGGGTACCTTAAGTGCTGAAACGAATGTGGACTGTGTTATTTACTTAATAAAGAGCATTATTAAATATACTTGCACGACGGCAATCAAAAGGTAGTTGCGCAGTCTTAAAAATGATATGATTTGAACTTTTGAAGACCAAAAGATACACTTCTTCGAGCATAAAATTTGAAAAAGGTTTGATTTCCTACCGAATGAATACAAGAAATAATATCTTTATGCATGTTTTCTGCAAATATTTTTGAAATTTTAAGGTTATTTAAAGTCGATAGGGAAATGCATGCTATCTAAGTAGCTGTTTTTTATGTAGTTTTTTGTCTGCCGCCGAAAAGAACTGCACTCAAATGCTAAAATCCTAGCGTGCCCGAAATATTACGGGGATTATGTCATAAGACAGTCACTATTACAACCCCTATTTTAGTAATACTTCCTAAACGAAAACGCATTTCAGAATGCCTGTTACCATTTTCTGAGATCGGTCGCTGACTGCACGCACTGTCGGGTAGGGACAATGATCCGGAGTCAGTCGAGGTTTGCAGTGCAAGCGTGCCCCAACATCCAACTACCGCTATCCACCGTCACGTGTAGTTTACTCTGATCTGACCATGCGGCGAGAGAAAGTGCTCCGAGCACCATCATAATCAGGGCTAATCATACTATTGGAAGGAGGGGGAGACAGAAGGCACCAGAATGAGGGGTTTATTGTATACAGAACCCAGAGTTGTCCCCTCCGGCGTTAGGGGCCACTGGCGAAGCCAGGACTGGTGTTGACTGCGTCTAGTCATGCCTGAGAGTCCCAGAGATAGTGGTGGCAGCCGCTTTTGTAGGCTCGTGGGCCTAGCTCAAGGGGTGCCCACTCAGTGCGTGTCGCATTTGCCGGGGGGTTGTGTTCCTGTGGCTTGTTTTGCTGGTTGTGGGGGGGGTGGGGTGCGTTCAAGTGGCCACATGGGCAGCTGCGGCTGTGCGGCCGCAGGTGTGCCGGAGCCGTCGGTCGTGTGACTTTAGGTCAGCGCGTCTGGAACGGCTCACTGTAAAAGGGCGAATGACCTTGAGGCAGCGAGGTCTTAACCAATGACGCCAGACCGGTCATGATGGCTGGTCGCCACAGCTCCCCGCCAGACACAAAACGAAGTGATGGTGTCGATCGTGAGGCAGACGATAATATGTGTGTGAAATAATCCACTGCACATGCGGCTTTGAGAGCGTGTGTCGATGATGACAGGAGTAGCTGGGACCGCGTAGGATGGAGATGCTGCGAACCCTTACAGAGGTGCAGTTGAGGCATCAACCGTGGGTGTGCTGGCGTGGTCTCGTCAACCTGTGCCGGTGAGTTGGCACGTTGGTATGAAACGGAAGAATGTTTCGGGCACAAGGCATCCCTGTGAGTGTTAAATCGAACGAATGCGTCAGTGAACTAGCCTCACTATCATCCAGACACAAAAATTGGAATAGAAAGCAATGTCAAAAGTGTTAAAGTTCATCGTTGTATCTAGAATAGCACATTGTATGTACGCAGTTAACTCACGAATGATGATTTCGTCGGTAATAGGCGGAAGAATGTCTCGGAAAAAAAGTGAGACGTTCAGATGACAACACATCTGGAGGTCTGATCTGCACAGTTTGACCGAGGTTTGACGTGAACTTGTATGGCCGACGTTTGCCCGTAACATCCATCTCGATTGACCTCAGGGTGTCGACAACTATGGGCACGATAAGTGGCACAGAAAAAACAGCAGGGCGAAGTCGAAGGGGAATTTTGTGGCGGTTGAGTTCATCCACGTCTGAAGATTGTGCGTCGATAAAGTCCGGGTTTGTCAGCAATTTGTTTTGACCAGGCGACGTGACCAAGCGGCCACATCCTTTGTCACACGGCAGTGGTGCTGAACTTTACGGCCACTGGCAGAGTAGTCTAAGCTCTTGGGTCTCGTCGTATGCAGTATCCTGCTGCCAGCGCTATGACAGTCGGCAGTTGTTTGGCTAAACGCAAAGGTTCGTTTTTTTCTCCACTGAACGCGGCTACAGTATGCTCATACGTGGCCGCTTCGTTTCGTGACTACTTAGGCTAAGTGACGGTTCTAAACTCACACACACAAGCGTGCATCACCCCCTGATGCAGTGACATAATGGCAGTTCGACTTTCGTGCCCCACAACGTGGATGGGGTACCAGTGTCTCACCAGTAAATTGGCTCACAGTTAGGCATGTGTGCACCAAATTTGCCACACTCTATTTCACTCACCTGGCTACAATGTGGTTATGTATCCGCATCTGATGGACACAATCCTGTTCACCTACTCAATTATTTTTGGTTGGTGTGATTACGATGGCATGGTGTTGCTGTGCGTTGCGGTGTGTGTTCAGTTGGCGTGTCTACGTTTTTCGGCTCAATGCCGGTGATCCTTCTGGACTTTCGGCACGTCGTCCCCTTCTAACTTTCGAGTTGGATGTCTGAGGATTAGGGTCAGGAGTTAGAGCTTATGTTTTGAGTTAAAGGATGAGGTTAGAGTTAGCGGTCAGGGCAACTACTTCTCAACTACTCAAAGTACAACCACGCATTTCCAATACCCTTTCTTTTGCACACAACAACTTGACATCGTCTCCTGTAAAACCCGCATTACCACCGGGGCAAAGGCCTGTTTGCCTCGCATGCGGCTACATGACCAGATCTGATCGACGAGACGATATTACGAGGGCGGGAGGTGGACTCGGGCTCAGTGGCTTACAAAGATTGACAGTCGATGTTTGAGTGCCACACGCGACTTAGACTCCCCTACATATACACGGCTTCTCTGCCGACGACTCATCTCATCTGTGCGCATGCCACAATGGCACTACTGAGGGGTGTCACCTCGGCCTTAGATTCAGTCCTCTTGTCACTCTTAAGTACTCCAATGGGGATCTAATTATTCCGTCAATCGTCAGCCTTTCAAACCACAACTCTTAGCCTATTGTGATAGGCCCAAATGCGTTTGCCCTCTCTTTACTGAACCCGGCTCAGCAACGATCGGGTGAAGGCCCCCAAACACACACACACACAACCAGTCTTATGGGAAAAGGTGGTCATAGGTGTTTTACGCGTAGGGCCTGGTAATATATAGAGGAATGGCAAAATACAGTAGGTGGGCGAACTCATGAAATGCCAACCAAAATTCCGAAATGCGTTTTCGTTTCGAAAAGATTAATTAGGTAGGGTTGTAAAACTAATCATCATGCAGCCTTGTTGTATAATAATTCAATTACCATAGGATGCGGGCTTTTGAACGAACTATTTCGGCAACATGCAAAAATATACTCTGTAAAAATAAATACTAATGTGGCATACATTTTTCTCATTGGATTTCGATGCCCTTAAAAGTTATATTATAATAATAAAAATATTCATTCTTTTGCTTATTCGGTAGGAAAATACGTCTACTTTCAACTTTATACTCGAAGGATGGATATGCTTGGGTTTTTAAAAACTTTTCCAATTACAGAACAATTTTGAATCCAATCTGCCGTTACACTTGTATACAGGATTTGCAAATTACAGGCCGCGTAATTTCTGTGTACGAAAAACCATATATTTCTTTACGGTATTAAGAGAAGACCATATAGGGGTTAATAAAATGTAGCATCTTATTTGAGCCATAATGCTAATTCTACAAGTCACATTCGCAAATGCAGACGCATGACGTTTTATGAAAGACCATTTAACGGCATTAAACAAATCTCACAAAAACAAAATGTTTAACACCTAATCATACCCTTCGCTCGAGTATTAACTTGGAAGAAGGCGTATATTCCTATCGGACATTTGGCATTTTTCCACGAAACATAATCGAATTTTTAAGGACATTGATTATCAAGGAGGAAATGCATGCTACTTAAGTAGTCGTTTTTTACAGAGCGTAGTTTTTTAGTGCTTCCGGAAAACGTTCGTTTGATAGCCGGCACCCTCAGGTAACCGAATTATTTTAGAATGACGCTTCATGATGACCTAATTTACAACACTAATTAAATAATCTTTTCAAAGAGAATATGCATTTTGGAATTTCGGTTGATATTTCGTGAGTTAGCCCCCCTACTGTAAGTATAGACAATTAGTAAATTTGTATTTTTGGGCGTAAAGGTTTTAATACATTGACATCTAGCAGCGGAAATTAAGCAGGACAATTAAAAAATCAACATCAAGTGTCTACAGCGATCGCTCATCAGGTCTCTGAGCTAAGGTCACTGTAGATAATGCAGCAGACAAACGATCCAACCTCGTACGATGAAATACCAAACCGAAATAATCGTGGCGGACTTATACCCACTTAGATGCTTTGGAGCCTTCATCCGAACATTAAACCCGGCTCCGCCATGACCACAGATGACCGCCTCGTTTTATGACCATCTGGGCTAATTTGAGGATCTAATCTCACTTACACACCCCCTGATGCAGGGACATAAGGACAGTTCCAGGAAGTGAGGGGGGCACCAGCGACTCACAGGTTATTTGGCTCGCAGTGAGGCATGTACGCGCTGCATTTGCCACACCCCTTTTTCCCTCACTCTTGCCCTCACCCACCTGGCACTGATGACAAGGAAGTGTCAAGGCAGCCGGAGATGGATCAGGGCGCAATGGTTAAAAAAAGTCAGCAATCCGTTTTCGCGTGCCATATACCCCCTAATCGCCACTAAGTCCGCAAGGTTTCTCCCGGGGGGGCGATCCCGATCTCACCTCTGTGAATGCCACAAAGGCATTATTGTAATCTCAGCCGGAAATTCTGTCCTCTAGTCACGTCTGAATGCTCCTATGAGGAACAAGCGATTCCGTCAGTCGTCAGCATTTCAAGCACCGGCACCAACCTCCTTTGGAGTTGGGGCTGCACTCAGGCCGGAAGCGACTAGAAAGCGCCAAACATGAGGACGAACAACCTGCTGACACGGCTGGAAACGCCTGGAGTCGTGAACCGGGACTGGTGCATTTTCGGACAAAGCAACTACGTCAGAAAAATTGTAAAATTACTCTGGACGCGGATGGCTGAGCCCGCAGCAGCGTTGGGGAGGAAGAACGCAAGCTCTCAGGTGACAGTTCGTTCTAAGGGAAGTGCGACGTCGGCTGGCATCTTCCAAGACGTCAGCTCTCAGGTATCAGTTCATTTACGGGAATTCGGCCGTATTTTCAAGTTTCAAGAGGCCACAACCTTTGCAAGCTGTGACAGCCGTGTGAACCGCGATCTCCCCAAGTTCTGGTTCTCCGGCCCGCAATCCACTAGTAATGACCTCTTCTTGCCGTTTGAGATTGTCCTAGGTTGAGGAATCAGTTACGTGTGTAGGGCGCGGCGAGCAATATTCTTGCCGATTTGCCCGTGCAATCGTCAGGCCAGCATACAACACGCATGATGAAATTGCGACAATTAACGACTCGGACGCATCGGTTGCGACTCCCAGTGGTGATCGCGAAAGTTATTAAGTATAGTACGCATGCGGCCCCACGGCAGCGTAGAATTATAAATACTGCAAACTGTTGTGCCTCCACTACCTTTATTTGCAACCGTCTCTGATGATGACTTCGAGTGAGAATCCGAAACGTCATTCCAAAATATTTCTTGTCCCCGTGATTGCCCCTTCTTCTTCTAAACTGCTTTCTGGCACTCGTCTGTTCGCTTAATCGTCAATGTGACCTTTGCCTAAAAAAACCTCCAGTAGATGCGAAAACAGTGCCGGGGTGTCCTTAGTCATGCGAGAAGCCCTGATCTTTGATCAAACTATCAGTTCATTGCGGATAAATTAGACCCTATATGCCCCATTTACTGCTGACAGAGGAGAAGCTAGAAACTGAAAACTCGTTTCGATACTGATAAGACAACAGCATCGTTCATTATCCACTGTTACTGATTTTCGCTCTTTTGAAAAGAATGCAATTGAGTTCAAGTAATTTCCTTTCTCAGATCGCTGTGAATATTTTTAAATCATGTGATAGATCACCAAACTTGATAAAATTAAGCATAGGCGCAGCGGCATGGTTTGAAGTTCCCTGATTATCCCTGTGTAGATTCTGACAGCAGTTTACTTTGTAATCATCCTGCGAATCAAAATAATAATTTTCAGGACTCTGTTCTTTTGGTTTTATTGTAAGTTATTCGTGAATTGCTGCCAAATTAAATGACTGATCGCAGACATAACCCAGATGACAGTATAAAAATTTGGACAGAATCGAAAAGCCACCTTCGTTTCTTTCAAAAGTAATCACTAAATAAGCTTACTGATCGAGTTAAGCGGTCCAATTGACAGTTTTGTGGAGCGTATAATAAACAAATTTACATTTCCGGATCAACCTACCGCCATCCACAGGTGATTATTATGGAGGTAATACTTTTAGTTTGTGGATGCCAAAGATGCTGTCGGGTGACTGCACAAGTTCCCGCAAATGAGTGTTATTTATGTCCTGAAAACTTCTGTAAATGGTTCAAACGCTTAGGCCTATGGGAGGTTAAACTTTTTGAGACGTTTCGATCCACATTGTGTCCACTTCGGAACCGGCTGAACACTAAGTACAACTAACTTGTGTTAATGTTGTGTATAGATGCTTAGGTACAAACCGCATTTCATGCTATCTTGCTCTGTGACATAAGATTTTCCAGACCTCGATGACGAACTGTGTATTTTGCCGTCAAATCTGGAATCCCTGTCAAATACGTAATCTTCGAAGTAGTCGGAACAAGGTTTTATAGGGGTATTTTGAAAGACAATATAATTATTTGTGTCAGTGGTTACCAGTTGTAGTGGGATGACCGCCTAATATTCATAAACTGCCAACAGGCAGCCAGTAGTGTATTCAGTGACTGCACGGTATACCAACTTTCACAGCACAGGAACCAGCAAAAAACGCAGACACGTGTTTTGCCGATATTTTTTACAAGTTACGCATGCGATCGTTTTTTTTCAGAGGCGTAGTGTGATGGGAGGGCGTATGATCACAGGGGAACACAGGTGAAAAACATGAGACACTCCGATGCGCGTGAGGCGACGGAAGTTTGTGTAGAGTTGCAACGCCCTACGCATTATATAGGGTTGTTTGAATTCAGTGACACTTTCCGCGCGGATCTGGAAGGATAATAGTGTAAGTGCATGTCGGTAAAAATAGCCGATGCCCTTTCCCCTCGTCTATTGACTCCCACCCCCAACTCGTCGCACCTCGCTCTCTATGACGACACCTACCACAGTCCTCTCCTGCAGTTGCTCACAGCTCTGCGTTTCCCACTGGTTGTTAAGCAGGCCCGACAGTGTCACTTCTCCATCCAGACAGGCCACCCCGATGTAACTTATTCTACTTGTACAATTAATTACTTTTCCAGTTCTCCTCTGTTCGTGCTCATATTGCTTGATTTGCCGCACTGACAACCCAGACACTGACTCAAAGTTCGGTCTCCTTTTTCGCGGATATTCTACCCCACTCCTTAAACCCCCTCTACCACTATTTAACGTACGTCACGTCAGCAGGCTAGCTCAAGTTAATGATGGATCCTATAAACTTTTGTTGCCCCGACCGCATACAGTTGTGTTATGTAGCGGTAGAATATTGGTGAAATACTCAGCTGCAAATTTAGCGAGAACCTGTGCTGAAGAAGAAGATACGATCGTCGGGACAAGAGCTTTATTAGCCTGACGTTTCGGATTCCTGCTCGAATCCATCATCAGAAACAAAAGCAGATAAGGGGGGTTCATGCACATGCGGCTGCAGTATTTATAGGATGCAGTAGCCATGCTACCGCATACCTATGAATATTCATGGCTCCCTCTAATTCATTAGGGATCGTTGCACGTGGCGTGATGGCCGATTTATCGCATCGTTAATTGCTGCAATTTCATCACGTGCGTTGGATGTTGGTGTGATGATTGCTCGACCATCTGACGCGCTGACCCGGGTGTTGGAAAGAGTGTTCACCAGGGCGCTCCCCGCGTGGCCAATTGCTCCACCTAGACGAAGTCTCAGCACGGTGTATTGGACGGGAAGATCATTGCACTTGTTAATAGACTGGGGGCCAGTAAACCATGACTCAAGCATCTCCCGGCTCACGCGGTTGTTACCTCTTGCGAGAATTTCGGCCTCGTCAAATTGGAATGTGTGGCCGGAACCCGTCGAATGAGCCGCAACTTGAGAGCTGGCGTCATTTCTCCGCAATGCTGCAGCGTGTTCGGCCATTCGCGTTCGGAGCTGTCTTCCGGGTTCTCTGACGTAGGTGCATTGTCCGCAACTGCACCAGATCCGATAAACGACTCCAGACGTTTCTTGCCGTGGCAGTGGGTCTTTTGGTTTCATCAATTGACGCCCGATGGTTGCCTCCGGCCTGTGTGCAACTCCAAACCCAAGTGGTGCGAGAAGGCGGCCGACAGCTTCCGAAACGTTCTTGACATACGGAAGTGTCCGCTAAGATTTGGTGTCCGTGCGTTTAGGCCATTCGTCCCTTTTGCGTACGCACCGGTCGACGAAGTTGCGCGGGTAGCCATTGGCTTTGAATACCCGTCGGAGGTATTGTACTTCGGCAATCTTGTCTTCCGGCTCACTGCAGTGCGTTTCAACACGCCGATAGAGTGTCCTTACACAACTGCGTTTGTGAATGATTGGGTGGTTGCTGTTGAAGTTCAGTACTTGCATCGTATTTGTCGCTTTCCTGAACACTTTGGTCTTTAGTCCACCACAATCCTTGCGGCATACGAGGACATCCAGGAAGGCCAGCTGGTTGTTCTCTTCCTCCTCCATCGTGATTTGTATGTCCGGGACGACCACATTCGGACGATCCTTGAATTTCAGCAGTTGATCCCGGTCGATAACGACAAAGGTATCATCCACATACCGGGCCCAGAACTTCGGTTTGTGGTGTTGGAAGACCAGCGACTCTAACCGTTGAAGGACCGCCTCGGCGATGAACCCCGAAATCGGCGAACCCATTGGTGTGCCCTTCACCTGTTCGTAGATTGTCCCGTAGAACGTGAAGTACGTCCTGAGAGTTTCAGGAGCTGAAGAATTGGGCGCGTCCAAGACGATTCTCCGTTTCATCGTATTTGCTTTGTAGAAGAAGCTCGATTGTCTCGATAGCCAGGTCCTGGGGAATAGAAGTAAAAAGGGATGTAACATCAAAAGATACCATTTGGATGGATGCTTACCCCTTTGAGTTTCTCCAGGAATTCTGCTGACGAAGAGACCGTGGTGTCTGACTCAGCGGTCAGGAACTTGAGACGCCGGAACAGCCACTTAGCCAGTCCGTACGTTGGAGTACCTTTGAGCGACACGATGGGTCGGAGAGGAGCGCCGTCTTTGTGCAACTTAGGGAGGCCATAGAATCGGGCCAATGCCGTATATTGGGGTCTCGTCATACGTCTGTCGGTCGGTGTTATTGCACTTGAGTTCTCCAAGGCCAAGAAATCTTTCAAATTTGTTATCCAGTGCTGCAACGTGTATCATTTTCTGTTCGCGGGCTTGTTCAGCTATCCTCTGCAGGAGCATATTTGTACCGATCTCACCCATGAACTCACAGCATCTGGTTTTTTATTGGTCAATCCTTTGACGGTACGTACGAAGTCTCGCGTGGCAATCTTGGAGGAGCATTTGGATCATCCTTCACCCGTGCTGAAATACTGCTCGTCTCGCCAAATCTGTGTTAACCGGAGGCATGTATGGAACACATTTCGGTAGCACATTATTGTCGAGACACCTGTACAGAAACCTGATCTGCGAGTACGTAGAGGCCTCCTGAAAGGCGAAGGTTTCCCATCGCCGGGTCGATCGGAGCGCATCGCGCCTAAATACATTGCCATTAGAAGCGAAGAGACGATTCCCAGGAAGAAGTCTTGAAAAAGAAGAAGACACGATCGTCGGAACAAGAGCTTATTTAGCCTGACGTTTCGGATTCCTGCTCGAATGATGCTTGATGATGGAATCGAGCAGGAATCTGAAACGTCAGGATAATAAAGCTCTTGTCCCGGCGATCGTGTCTTCTTCTTCGTCTTCTTCAAGACTGTTTCCTGGGAATCGTCTCTTCGCTTCTATTGATGCCTGTGCTCCTAGTGCGGTGAATCCCGCAACATGATTATACTACTAGCTGTCTGTTGATAGTTCCCGAATATTACACGGTTGTCCCTCTGTGACTGGTGGACCGCAGCTGAAATATGCCTACAGAATTTCGGACTTAGTTCAAAAAGTTTCATTCCGACAGATTCACTCCAAGTTAGAAAAAAGATTCTGAAATTAGCTGACTGTCGTTTTAAACGTGAGATTTCTGTGCCAATTATTCCATTCGCTACAAGGAACTGTATTTTCTCCGATTAAGGTATATTGTATTACCCTTCTAGCTTATGATCACAATCTCGTTTGCTGCAAAAAAACATCTTAGCGTTTAAAAATACATGCATAACAGCAGCTGTTGACGTTACTCATAAAATTTTGACTGACATTCCGAAAATTAAGTTGGATTTATGGGGCGTGATATGGGTTATCACATGGATAGATCTCAAGCCATTGAAATCGCGGCAGGATGTTAAGCCTTGAGTCGGCAGATTGCCGTCGGTCTGAAAAATCATGCTCGAGAAAAATGACTACTTATTTTATAGGAATTTGTTCACAGAACCTCTCTGCCGTCACAAATTTGTCGACAGTTTATTGGAAGCATTCAGGAGAATGATTTTCCAGCATTCCATGTATTCCAAACACCGACATATATAAAATTTAAAAAGGTTCCCGAAATAGCGGATAATTCCGAACGCTAACTGCCATTGCTCTTCCGTTTATGGCCTTCAAAGTGCAACGTAGACAGTTATGATTTACGAAAAACGATAAATTTGTCTATAGCATTACCACGGTATCATATATTGCTCCTGAATTCTGCAAATAAATTTGACCACTTTGTATTATTTATTAGTAGAACTAACGGACAGACAAACACGATGCTGTTTTATTAGACTTGCACAGTTTTCAAACCCCCAAAACTGTCTACATTTTAAAAGCGAATGCTACTCTCATAAGAGATAAACGAATTTACTAAGGTGCTGCCATTCGTGTGCAGTTTGGAAAGCTTATCACGACGGCTAAAACTGTAGGGTGACCCCGACCACTACGACCACCAATCTCAGCTCCGAACAGGAAGCGAAGAAGTGGGATACCAGACGGTTGGGAGTTTTATTCTGTGCAGAGAAGGGACTGGTCGTACTCGGCGCTCGGACAAGGATACAACCGACGACGCGGAGCGGCGTCCGCGAATGATGAAGCGAGTTTCAAGCGACTTCAACAAGCTCATGTTGGAGTCAGCCTTATAAAATAATAGGCCAATTTGTACAGCCGACATTGGCCAAGAGGCCCAGCGTTGCAGCAGGCGCCCAGAGTTGGATCAGTGCAGCTTCGGAAAAGTAAACAGGGGGCGCAGCTTCTCGATCAGGTTTCTTTTTTAATCGTAAATTAGTGTTCCCTTAGCCCGTCCTTTGTACCTCTAGAAATCAGTGTATCTCTCGAGGATTGGAGCCAAAGCCTCATTGTTCTTTACAAAATGACTTTCTCATTCAACGGCATAGAAAATTGCACTGTAATTGAATATTTTAATGTAGGACTCTTAAGTTAAGATAAATAAAGCAGTTTTGCTCAGAAAATGGTGCATAGTAGGGCATTATGCACCGCGAAATACCTACAAACAACTGGAAATATCCCATCACGTTAGAAGGTAAATAGTCTTTGTCAATACCCTAACTGATGACAACCAGCATGATGAAACTTGATGGAAAGCGTACGGATCTGCAAAAAGTACGGTTGTGAGATTATTAAGACCGTGAAATGCCCATTTAAAGAGCATCGTATCTGTCCTTTGATTAGTGTTCTGTGCGGAGTATGCAGCATTGTCCAGAAACTATGTCATGAGTGCCATATAGCATCTCAGGGATGTCATAAAACAATTTGTTATTTTTCTTAAATGAAAAGTATGCAGGCAGTAGGCTATAAATCTTAAATGCAAATGCGATGGTAGACCATGTTTACAATTTTTCGGAAAGTAAAAAAGGCTTTTTTAAAAAAAACTGACAGACACCCTTTCGTTGGGCATGGAATTCGGAGAAACCTTGACTTCCTATCACATAAGTGCGAGAAAGAGTATTTTGGGTATTTTGTTTGCACAATATATCTACATTTGGATTCCTACTAAGTACGTGGCCATTTTGTAAGGAGTGATGTGCCTCAGGCGGCCGAAATGAAGTGCATGTAAAAGTCGACATCCCGACTGGAGTGAAATATTTTGAGATTGTGCTGCATGGTAATTAACATTACAAACCCGTTCAAGTAACACTTCCTGGTCGGAGGCGCGTTTCAAGACATCGAGTAGAATTTCATCAGATCGTTCACTGACCGTTGGGTGCGCCGGAAGTTACAGACCGTCGTCGCGATTTAAGAGTTGTGCTTTACCGGTGTACAAAAATATGCGGCTGATGATGTGTCATCCGTTGTCCACACACTCCATGCTCAGGAATCTCACATTTGTGAAAGTCATAAGTAGTGGTTTGGATCATGCAGTCAGAGAGGACGCTCATGAGCTTCCGTTCTGCGGAAGTACATGCTTGGCAGTTTGAAGCATTCCAACGCTTATTCCTCTCCGATGGCTGACAACTGGAATAGCACTGCAGGTCAAAGGCAAAAGGCCATACTTTTACCCCTGGTTGGGTTGATCTCAGCTGTGGGAGCGCATGCAATAGTTCATTGAATCTACTGTAGTACCACGGATGTATGTCCAGCCGTTTGCGATTGCAAACATATAAAGTTATCTGCGAACAGCTTCCACTGTCACGCTCTAAGGAACGAAGGAATCGCGGATATTTTGTTCAGCCTTGGGGCTCTATTACTCTGCGACCTCCTGTCTGCTCCCATACATAGACCTCAGTTTATATAATTACCTCATGGATGTTTTGGCAGATTTTGAATAATTCATACTGACCCCACTGTGAAACCTCGGCGCCTCGGGGAGATCCGAACCCACGCAGTAGGGAGAAGGCTTTATTACAGCCAACGCTTCAGCCTCTTGAGCTACGACGCCCCGCCGAACGACGCGAATTTAATCATATTTGGGTCACGTTACCCGCCCAATCTACTGCAGCGTCTGAAATCCACCAAATATTATACAGTAAGTTGATTGCCCAAGCAGGATTTCCTGAGTATTTCACATGAAATCCACCAGATGACTACCAGGCTTGCGTAATTCATAGATGTTGGCTGTACTAAAGCATTCTCCTTACTGCGTGGGTTGGAATCCCAACGAGGATCGAGTTTTTCACAGTTGGGTCAATCTAATTATTCAAAATCTGCCAATACATCTATGAATTACATAAGCCTGGTGGTCATCTGGTGGATTCTATATGAATTGCACAGGAAATCCTGCTTGGGCAGTCAACTTACTGTATCAGATTTGGTGGATTCCAGACGTTGCAGTAGGTTGGGCGGGTAACTTGACCCAAATGTGATTAAACTCGCGTCGTCCGGGTCTCGCAGCTCAAGTGGTTATAGCGATGGCTGTACTAAAGCCCTCCTCTTACTGAGTGGATTTGAATCCCACCGAGGCACCGAGTTTTTCACAGTTGGGTCAATGTGTTTTATATAAGTATCACTTAGGTATGCTGGTAAGTACGTATTCAGCTCAACTCAGGTGGCTGGAAAGGCCTGCATTATGTTTTACTGAACAGGTTGCGACACACTCCCGCCCTCTGGAATCCCCGGGTTTAAACTTGGATGTCTGAAGGCAGTCGCGTAGCAACCAGACACAGCAGTGGGAAGAAGTAGTAATAAGGAGAGTGGTGAGTGGTGCGGGGACTTCGGCTTTACCTTACCACGGCGATGCAGGACCTGAGATTCGAACTCCCGTCTTTTGGCCATCAACCAGATAATAAGTCCAGCAGTCTACAGTTGAGACACCGACCCGTTGTCCTGCCTGTCGGGATTGGGGATATTATATATGCTGACAGGCTGACCACTGGCCAGTTTACGGGATATATTGTCCCGTGGCCAGAAATGACCCTTTGTGTTGTCCTTGTCTTCGTCGGAACTTATTCGAGTGTAAGTTTTCTTTTTTCTTCCATTTACTTCAATTTTGCAAATGCATTCTCCTGGTATCACGACCCAAGTTGTTGTCATAACCCATGTTTCTTCTGATCCCCCTCCCATAAACTATCTGCTCATAAATCGTCCCCCTGCAGAAATTCGTGTTATATTCGGAAAAAAATCTGGGCCGGACGTCAAACCCTCGGGGCTTGCTCTCATTTGCCAGACATCCGGTGCGGCGCGGCAGGGAGGGGTTTGGCAGGTCCCTCGACAGAAAAATGTTCAGTTTATTTTGCCTAATTGCTTTGGCTTGCAGCTCGGTTGAGGGTGGGGGAGGTTTGAACGCTAGGCGGCAGTGCCTCTACGCCGGCACCAGTCGTAAGTCAGCGAGGGATCTCCAGTAAGTCATGTCATCTCGCGGATGGCTGCTGGAGCTGTCTTGAAGGCCGGGGGAGGGAGGCGATTAACGCGCGTATAGACTGAGCGCCGGAAATGAAGTGTTTATCAGTCAGCGTGTGAGGCGGAGCTCGGAGGATCAAAGGATACCGTCGTAGACAGTGCCAACCGGTCAAAATGCCCATTTGGCTCAGACGGGGGACTGCACGAGATGGCGTCGGGAAGAGCGCGCGCCAGAAAGCAACCGGTCGACAAAAGTGTAATCGATCTTTAGGGGGTGATAACGGGCAATAATCACGAGGAAAGGCAGAAATAGAGCCAAGAATAAGGGGGAGGGGTTGCAGTGTCAATTAATCCATACTAACAGAATGACTAACAATGTAGTATTTATACAGCAAGAGTGGCCATTGCGTTGAAATCATCAGGCTAAGGCACGAATTAGCTGGTAAAGACGAAGACAACAGAGCATGGTTTGCTGTCTAAGGCAACAGTGGCCATTAGTGCAGCCAGTGCTAATGTCGACTGCGTCCAGTCATGCCTACGATGACTGAGACAGGTGGTGGCAGCCGCTTTTGTAGGTTTATGTTGTCCCGTTGCATCAAATGTGTTGCATTAGCTCTGGGGTGGCGAATTTTGCAACGTATTGACTTACGCGACGGTAGAGGTAGGGTGTAGGGACCCCAAGTAACTTGTCATACATCGAATGCTGGTAGATAGGGTTTAACGGGTGAGGCAAAAACCAGTACGAAAAGCTGGAGGAATGCAAGAAGACATCGAAAATAAAAAATTGTTGCAGCAAGTAGACAACGTCCCATTGAAAACGGTGCGTACAGTGTAGATGTTAAATGCACACTTTACTAAAATGTTGCCAGTAACATATTTGTTTACGGAAAACGTTTTTGCAATGCTGGACTGTGAAGGGTGCGACAGGCGGACTCTTCTATGTACATGTGAAATTGTAAGTGCAGTTAATTACGATCGACACAAAATGCAGTCAGTTGCGTAAGTTGCGAGAGGAAATTTCATGAAACGTCAGGGATGTGTTACACAGTGATTAAATCAGGAAATAAAATTTATTGCTAATGAGAGTCGTCGTTTATCAAAGATCAAACGATCCAGCTGCCTTTTTAATACAGTCATTGTTTCAGATATCACCATTTCACTTGGGAGTGAAGTCCACGGTCGAACAACACTCTGACTGAGGAAAAAACTTACGGTGGTCCAGGCATTTACGCTTCCGCTTAACTTTGTACGGATGGCCGCGCATGTGACTCATGGTCGTGAAGTCAAAGAAGTCTTCAGATTTGAACGAACATGCATGCCTGTGGATAATGCTGAATCTCCCCAACAGGTCACACCTCATTGATCTGCAGGATAGAGGGAACAGGTTTAACTGGATCAGTCTTTCTGGGTATGAAAGTGTCCTGAGACCATCCACCAGTTTTGTGACCCGTTGTTTCACCTGTTCTATGGCGTCCATGTTGGCATTCCGTTTTCAAATGAGATCTGACAAACGTACCGTATATCTGTAAGAAGAGTTCGGGAGGCAAGATTGTGAAGGCACGCCTAATCCTGTGCATGATGCTGGTTGCTTTTTGGACGACTCTCTTGCAGTACTCGGAGAGCAGCAAGTTTGAACTTGTCCAGACATCTAAGTCTTTGTGCGTGTCCATTTCTTTTAGTGAACCCCATTTATGGTACACTGGTGTTTTGAGAAGCGCCTCCGACCAGATTATGGGCGCAAGACGACATATTTGGGTACATTCAACGCAGAAGCCCTTGCTGGACCATGAAGCCATCTTATCAAAATTTTCCTATAATTTATGTGAGTCGTCAACACAGCTGATTGTTTTCCAGACCTTTATATCATCTGCAAACATGATGCCATCGCATTCAAGGTCTGCAGGACGGTCGAGGAGGGGACCCAAATTAGAAGCCTTCGGAACGCCGCTTTTTACTGGCATCAATTCGTATGCAGTGGTACCAACGATTGCTCTTTGAAGTCGGCATGACAGGGAACTTTTAACTTACTCCAAAGTTTTGCCCTGTATTTCACACCTCCAAATCTTCTGTAGGAGTCGTCCATGTGAAACGCTCTCAAAGGCCTTCTTAAAATCAAAGAAGATGACATCCACCGCGTGGCCCTGGTCTATGGCTTTTGTCCATTTTTCCTGCTAGTAAAGACTGCCTGTAAGACATGAGTGATCACGACGAAATCCTAGCTGAGCAGCACACAATAGGTCTCTCTGCTCCAGATACGATATTAAATGTTCTTTAATAAGTCGTTCCATGACCTTGCGCAAAATGCAGGTTAAACTACTAGGACGGTAATTTTCGGGCTCCAGCTGGGATCTTCCTTTATAGATTAAGGAATATGGTTCGTTTTCCATTCCTCCGGCAGTTCGCCCTCTTCCGTGGGCTTCTAAAATATCATTGTCACTGGCTCACACAGTACGTCAGCTAATTCTCAAGGGGGATGAATTCTATCTGGACCAGGTGATTTAACAGGCTTTAGCTGGCGTAGTTCGGTCCTTATCAACGTCGGAGAGAAGTAAAGATTGTCCTCCAATGCAGGAGAGAAGGGATGTGGTCGTTTATCTGGGTAAGGCGTAGGAGGAGGATTTGTGCCATAAGTGAACACCGACTAAAAGAAACTGTCGAAGGCTGATGCTTTCAGGTGATCCTCTGTCTCGATTCCTCCGTTTTCGGATCTCGGCGCTGAAATCGGGTCTCGATTGCTCTTACACTTACGCATGTACCTATGGAGGATTTTAGGATGTTCCAAAAACTTTTGCAATTTGCGTAGCTCATAGTTCCTTAGTAGTCTATTAGCCTCGCGTTTACACACATTGCGCTGTCACTTATATTCCTTCAGGTGTTCAGGGCTCTGTGTTTGTCGATAACGTTCCCACACTTTATTTCTCCATTTAAACGCATTTTACAGTTCCCGATTTATCCACGGCGGACGATATGTTGTTTCCTTTCGTTTGAGTGGACAGTTTCGATCAACGATTACCTTGACCAGTGAGCTGAACGTCCTCCAGTAGTCGCTAACTGTTCCTTGCAATTTGGTTGTCCATGGTAATGCCGAGAGTTGCGTTCTTATGCTATCATATGCCAAGGAAAGTGAGGGCAATAATCTAAAAAATGGGTAAAAACCATTTTAAGAATAAATGATTTTACGTGGACCGCCACTGGCAAGTCTATATTTAATCAGGAAGCCAAGCAAAATTTCAACCAATAGGAATGGTGAAAAATATGTGAGGTTTACAATCACACGGAATTTTAGTGTAAAAGTTGGAGCTGCCAGCTGCGTGGGAATCTACGCCCTACCATTAGCAACCCGACTATGTGGGCGCAAGTGCATCCGAGCTGAAGTTGGTCGAGAGGCTGCAGGTCAGAGCTCACTGCAGTGGCGAGTGACCTTGGGGCGGAGGGTCTTGAATAAGGACACCAGACATTGCAATGGTGAGCGTTGGCAATAAGTATTTGCGACCATGTCGACAGATGTGAAGACAGTTCCCTCGGTTGGGATCGATATTACAGTGGATGGACTTACTCATGAAATGTCCCCCAAAATGCCGGAATGCGCTTTCGTTTCGAAAAGATTAATTAAGTAGGGCTGTAAAACTTGTCAACCTGCAACAAAATTATATGATATTTCAGTTACGTTAGGATGTCGGCGTTAGAACGAACTTCCTTCCGGCTGCATGCAAAAGCAACACTCTGCAAAAATGCCTACTCAAGCAGCATGCATTTTTCTCATTGATTTTTGATGCCGCTAAGTGGTTAATTATATTTCATGGATAACATGCATAAAAATATTCATTCTTTTGCACATTTGGTAGAAAATGGCTTCCTTTCCCAATTTATATTCGAAAGAACGGTATAATTCGGTTTTAAAAAAGTTTCTAATTGTGCGGTTTTTTAATACCATGAAATGGACGTTCATAAAGCGTCATGTCTCTGCATTTATCAATGTGGCTTGTAAAGTTGACAATATGGATCAAATTCACTGTTTAATTTTATAAACCGTATGTGGTCTCCCTTTATTACCGTACAGAAAGGTGTGGTTTTCTGTGCACGGAAAATATACGGCTTGTAGTTCGGTAACCCGGAATCCAAGTATGACGGTAGAGCGTATTCAAAATTATTCGGGAATGGCAAACCTTTTTAAAACCGAATTATATCACTGCCCCAAGTATAACATTAGACGAAGACGTAATTATCTACCAAATGAACAAAAGAGTGAATATTTTTGTGCATGTTTTCCATTAAATATAATTGGACATTTAGGGGCATCGAAAATGAGTGGCAAAAATGCATGCTTCTTAAGTAGCCATTTTTTGCAGTGTGCTTTTGTGCATGCAGCCGGAAGAAAGTTCATTCGAGAGCCCACACCCTGAGGTAACTGAAATATTACAGAATTATTTTACAGGTTGACCAGTTTTACAACCCTACTTAATTAATCTTTTTGAAACGAAAACGCATTTCGGAATTTTCAATGACATTCCTTCAGTTAGTCCACCTATTCTACCTGATCTACTTATAATACAAGCTTGAATTCTTCGATATTCTGACCAAACGGATACAACGCAATCATTTGGTTTTCCAGTGTGTCTGCATATCTGTCATGTCTTGATATTTTTCTGGATGTAGAGCAATATAGAGACTGTGAAAGACCGTTTCTCATTTTTTTCATCTGAAGGTTCGAATATTTTTCAAAATAAAAACTGATAATTCGCCGAGAAATCTACTTTCCACTTAATGATCGAGCCCAAACAGTTTGTCTTACATTAGTAAACGTTTGCGGCGTCTGATCCCCTTTCATTAATTGGACCATTTTCTAAATTTCCCCCCCCCCTTTTCAGACGGTGCAGTTTTCGCGGGCTCAGCAGCACGAAATCCGAAGAAATGGCCGCTTTGAACGACAGGAGTTGATGCAAGTTAATGTGGATTCGATTTTCAAACTGCCAGTCAATGGTCAGGCATTCTCGCCTAAAGATTTTGTCTGCATGCCTCAGGACAATTGCGCTGTTGTGATTAGACGAATGCTAGTTTCCTCTGGCTCGGCAATTTTGCCATTCAGCACAGCACCGGATGACTGATTATTCAGTCTGGTTTTCGGACGACTCGAAACTCGAATGACCGGAAGTGTGTGGGGGAACAGACAATGAAGCATGTCCTGCGCAGGTCTGTGTCATCAAAAGTCTTAATTGCATTCTGTGCTTTTATACGCCCTTTGAATCATTGCCTACTGTTAACAAGTAAACATGACAATGTATTGGCAGAACAGCATTACTGACGAAAACAAGGGAGACTGGAATAGCCACTTTTGACTGACAACGGCTAATTAGCCAGAAACGGTCATTCCGGCCTCCCTTGTCATTGTTGGCAATGCCATTCTGTCCTTATTACACGCCGCCATACAGCGGCTGGTGGGGTTCAAGAGAGAGAGTGAGTTGCCTAATTGGATCGGTGAGGTCCCCTTTGCCGCTATATTTGCCCAATCACAATTGCCAGAACAAGGAACTCGCGGCTCAGTGGCTAGGGTGTTGGAATTCAAACGAACGGGTCACGAGATCGAGCCCCAGGTGTCAAACAACTGGCGGTTGTGCAGGGCTAGCTGACGACAGCTAAAGTGCCTGAAAGAGCCATCCCTAGTCTTCGTTGATAATGCTGTTCTGCCTACAGTACGCGCCGATGCGACTCGATGGAGGGCCCCAAGGCATAAAGGGACGAATGAGTTCCGCAGTGCAATCGGTGAGCCTCCCTCTACCATGGTTTTTAACAGTGCCCAAAGAGGGCTTAACTAAGTTTTGTTTGCAGCTGGATATTTTTTGTGGGTTTTTGACTCTCTTCATGCCCTTAACAAAATCTTCCTTTTGGTGCTCAACCGGTTTATGTTACGAGCTCTTAACAGTTGCATCATGCAAGCCAGCTTCTTGACCCGCCTTTTTTATCATTTAATCATCAAATTTTCGACAGTCGAGGGTATTCAATTGTCACTCATCTCCACGTAGATTGTGAGACTCATGCCAGCAAACGACTACTTAAGTTGTATCTTGCAGCGCTTGATCTCGCCCAGCTTTATGACGGTTCGCCTCCAGAACAGGAGTCAGGAACCCTTATCTGGTAAGTAACTCTAGAGATCATATGCCTATGGTAACAATCGGGAGATGGCACCCAAAAATCCGTTACTTAGAAATAATACCTTCAAAAGTGGACTCAAAAGCATTCAGGCTATATCAGCGGTTGCAGGCCTACTCTCACGCAGTACCTGGTCTTTCCGCGACGGCCTAATATGGGCTGGCCGAACGAACATCGCAGGAGGTTACATGGACGATGGTCGCTGTTACCCAACCTTTCCCATCGTAACACACGTACACCTGAATATACGGCATACATTCGCATTATGGCAGTTTATTACAAAACAAAAACACTTTTAAATAGGATAAGTCTGCACAGCATGGGGCAGGAACAGTTCCCAGGCATCTGTCAAAGACATGGCGTTGAGGCCAAACCAAAGACGATACTGTACTTCGTCTATGTGAGCCCACACAGCTCGACCACATACAGGGCCTCCCTCGTGGAGTTTCCTTTTTAGTCTACTCCAGTATGCCTCAGTGGCATCGGTGTGCCGTCCGGTGGTAGGGTCCTAGAAGTTCTTTGAGTGGTTAACAGAGAAATGTAGATAACCTTCTGAGGTAAGACGATTATACGCCTTCCACTCGTCACTTACCATTATACTGCCTTTGACGACCCCCTTTGTAATAACGGAACGGAGAGCGGGCCAACTCCGATCATTCACCTGTTCAAATAAGGCTTTTTGTCGGCTACTATCGTACATCCCGACCAGCCACCACCCATTAAACCCCTATTAACACCTGTCCCGTAAGACAGGCTGCTTTGGTTAGGCGGATTTTTTGGGTGCCACCTCCCGATTGTTACCTTTACCTATTGACGTGGTTTATCCTAGGGAATTTCGCCAGGCAGGACAAACCTCACATAGGCTCAACCACCCTCCGTCGAGGGAAGGACAGAAGCAGCCGTCAAACCACAAAACACCCGACAAAGAACGGAGACAGCAAAAAAGTGGAAGAGTGGATCCACTGAGCGCCGACTAACACAGTAAGCCATCTGAAATTTGTTCGATTTTTTCAGTTAGAGCTTTTACCGTAGTGAGCCAACAAGGCTCTCACAAAATCTGCTCCGTTGAACCCTCTATCTTTTTCAGAAGTTTTAAATATGCCAATATAAGATTCAGACGTAGGCCAATTCAGAGGTGGGCACAATTGCCATCGTCAAGACTGTAAGCTTTTCAAAGCAGCGTGGCATCACGTAACGATAAATTCCTATCTGACTGATTTAAAGCATGCATAAGCTGCTTCGGAATTTGTCGATGGAGTTGATCGTTGTTAGGTAAACTTAGCTGAATAACCCGAACTATTCATACGTCCAATTGCAAAGATCGTATGCGAGATGCCACAAAGTCAAGCAAGTGTCCCAAAGAAGGTGCTTAGCTTGTGAACCGTTGGTACGCTGTGGGACTTCGCCAAAACTGTCCTAATACTCGTACCCTCCAGCGCTGGGTTATTTTGGAAGACAGACCTATTATCCAGTTGACACGGATGTCTGAATGTTCGAAATACTTGGCTTCAGTACCCAGTTCTCCTGTCGAATGTGGTCATTGAAGGTGTAACTACTACGATCAATTTACTCAGAGGGTACTATTTTTTCCGCCATTGTCTTTCTAACACTCATTAATAGTTGGTTATCCTTTTTTATGGGAAAGTGGGGTCGACCACATTTTGTTCTGTAATCAGGGTACGTCAGCAGTGTCATTGTCACGTGACGGCGGCGGTGGAGACGTGTACCCAATGTTTACCTGTTTTGGCTTTGGCCTGAAAAACTCTATGACCAATGGACCCCGCTAGGACCAAGCCTACTGATTGGGACATTAGCTATAAATATCCATTCCACTCTGCGCTATGCTTGACGACAGCATCTCGATACCATAGCTGGTTGGTGACAGCCTCGTAGCGGAATAGGGTAAAGTGCCTTGTTTACAAAGCCCGCCAACACTTCGAGGGTAACCTTTTAAACTGTGTAGGGGAAAACCCAAAGCTTTTCTTCCACTACTAAAGACAAAGTACTTGCAACAGGGATCCGATACCTATGTTTAAATGGGGAGGATGGCGTTAAACTTTACACGGACGACGAAAAGGCTGAGCATCTCTCCAGATTCTTTAAGTCGGTTTTTACGAGCGAAGTCGATGTACACGCTGATCACTATAATGTGATCGATGTCTCGAAAACTGACTCAGTGTTCCTCAGAAATTTATAGTTCAACAAGAATTACTGACGCTAAAAGAAGCGACATCGCCTGGTCCTGACGAAATATCGGCAAAGTTGTTAAAGGAATTAGCCATAGAACTGGCAGAACCTCTGTGTCTCCTCTTCCAAGTCCCTCTTGATGCAATCAGATTGCCTCCTGTGTGGAAGAATGCGTGGGCTTTACCGATACATGATAGTGGCAGTCGCGCTTCCGCAAACAACTGCCGACCGGTAAGCCTCACCTCCATATTCTGCAAAGTGATGAAGCGAATTATCAGACGCGAACTGATGCGGTTTTTAGATCAAAATCATCTTCTGTGCGATGCACAGCATGGTTTCCGCAGACGGAGGTCCTGGTTGACCAATCTACTCTACTGTCTTGAACAGTGGACCCGAGCGACTGATGAAGAAAACGTGGTGCATGTAGCCTACCTAGACTTCAGGAAGGCCTTCGACAACGTACCACACCAACGTCTTCTACAAAAGCTCCGCCGCATTGGGATAAGGGGCAAGCATTTGAAGTGGATTGAAAAGTTTTTGATTAGTCGGTCTCAGACTGCCCGTCATGGTGGCCAGCAATCGGCAGATTTGACGGTTACGAGCGGAGTACCTCAGGGCTCCGTTTTTGGCCCTATCCTCTTCCTCATCTCTGTTGATGATTGCATCCATGGTTTGGACTGCGACATTGGTATGTTTGCTGACGATACAAAGCTTTGGACCGTCATCCGCAACGAGGACGACGAAGCAAATCTACAGATAAACCTCGACCGACTCGAACAATGGTCAGGCCACTGGCTCCTCCCATTTAATGTTACCAAATGCAACATTCTGAGGATTGGCAAAACAAGCTCTGCGCACCGGCAGAAGTACTATCTAAATCACGCACCGCTGCCACTGGTAGAGGTTCAGAAGGATCTAGGTGTGTGGATAACATCTTCACTAAAGCCATCATTCTACTGCTTGAAAGCAGCGAAATTCGCAATGTTCATCATATATCTCATCAAGCGGACATTTGCGAAGTTCGACTAAGAGTGCTTACGCAAGGTCTTTGGGATTTTTGTGCACCCACAGTTAGAATTTGCCATTCATTCAGGCCTGGAGACCCTGGTCTGTCAAAGATCGTACAACCCTAGAAAAAGTCCAACGACGGTCAACGAAGCATGTCAGAGATCATAAAATCTACCTTACGAAACTAGACTGTCAAATCATAACCTCCATTCCCTGGACTACAGACAAGTACATGTCGACCTAATTCAAACGTTTCGAATGCTACGGGGTCAGGATTGCTGCCTCGCATCCGGCGACTTCTTTGAGCTGGCCACCAGTACTAGCTTGAGAGGACATCCTCTGAAACTACGTGTGGCAGGGCGCGACTGGACGCAAGGAGGTCCTTCTTCAGCCAAAGAGTGGTAGAGGCCTGGAATGCCCTGCCTGTGGACGTCGTCATGTCCTCATCCGTGTACTCATTTAAGAGAAAGCTTGACCAGTACAGGGATATGTACCCCCACGGCATCAGAATCTAACAAATTTCCCCTTTACCATCAGTCCCAAAGTTTTACGCTACATAACATGCTACTCCCTAAATTTAAGTAGCATTGTGGTTTGACTTTCGCTGTCTCCTGATCGAAGCATATGCGCTTGCTCCGATATTGCTTGGTCCACTCAGTACCGTACTGGTTATTGTACAATTTTGACATAGAAGGCATTTACAGACAAATTTATACCAGTGACCAATGCTTGTTTCTGTAATTACTTATCTTTTTTCCTGTGACACTTGCCTTGCACACTCTTTTTTATGACGCTATTATAACTAAATGGGAGTTCAAAGGCGATCGCCTACCTTTCCCTTAATAAATCTGATCTGATCTGAACTAGATTTACATTTCGAGACGGGGTTCTTGTTCTTGTCTCTGAGATCAAAGCAAATACTTCCTATCGAACCTGTAAATGTGTTCGGCGGTCCAGCCTAGGCCGGTGCTTATCAGTGCGCATGCACCTCCAGGGGGTTGATGAGAAACCATCTTACAACACCAGACCTGCTTGACTGCCTTTCACACTCACTCGATAATCGGGCTCGTAAATCGTCTTTTTGACGATGACAAGAAGGAGGCAAAGGCACCTTCGGACAGTCACGTGAGTCTGTCTTTTAGTATAGCCCACACAGTCACACCTATAACATGGTCCTAAACTCACACTGCATGCAGTCATTATCCATCTGGATTTTGTAGAGGCTGAGATAATTTGTGTTTCCCAACTCCCGTTATAGTGAGCAAAAAAAATCGACTTTGAGAGATCATTTTTCAGAACGTCGGTGAACCGGTGTTGGGACAAGTGTCGACTGTCGGTCACCGTGCTACTATTGCGAACAGCCAGTTCCACATATCTCCCTGGTGGGGCTCTTGCTGGCTCGGCCATTGGTCTGGCAAGTCGCCTCTTCGAAATCGGAATGCGGATTAGGGTGAAATATTCTGGAGCCGGTAAAGGTACCTCTACGATGGTCATGAGTACGATCATGGTCATTTACGAGCCCGTATGGGCACAACGGAACGAGTGAAATCCGTAAGAAAGGTCGGTGAGCGTCCCTTACCATTGTATATTCTCGATCGGAACCGATAGTGCAACGGGCTCGCAGCCCAGAGGTAAGCAGCGTGGACTTCTAAATAACACGTCGCGAGTTCGGGACTCGGGTGTTACACACTTTGGGGTTGGGTATGATTGGCTGACGACGGCCAATAAGTCAGAAACTGCCATTCCAGTCTCCCTTGTCTTTGTCGGTAATAACATGCTGCAGCTATCTTTCCTTTCTCTTTACACCATCTTCTAACTAGGCCCTTACACACAGCACCGTAGCATGTCTCACCTTGTTGTTCGGGTACCACTTTCAACATCCATTCCTACCTCCTGCCCTTTTCTCTCTCGCTTTTTCCGCTTACTAACAGGCTGTCCTCGGTGTCTTGAGGGGATATGTGTCGAACGCAGTCCAGGTCTTCTAATCGCGTCCTTTTCAGCCCCATCTCCGCCGTACCCGCTTAAGAGGCGATCTTCTACAAACATTCCGTATAATGCGCGGCCTGGACTGCTGTCTCTTACCAGCTAATTTCTTTGAGTTAGTAACCACAACGACTGACGCTAAGCTGGACATTCGGAAGTTCTTCTTTTCAAACAGAGTGAGCGAGGCTTGGAATGCTTTGCCTGCAGAGGTCGTCACGTCTACCTTCGTTGAGGCTTTCGAGCGGTAGTTAGACCAATGTAGCACTGAACGTCACAATGTCACCTGACCGACATCGTCTTAGCATTTCGTTCGAACAGTTTATCAATGTTGTTATATTACTGCCGGTATTTCAGTAGCGTTTGTCTTGTATTATTGTCCCACATCCGTTGAATGTGAGTGTTGCATTCAATCCGTCTCCCTCAGAAATTGAGATAGCGCCAGTTATCCAGAGACAGGCTACTGTACGGCACATTTATTAACGTTAATGTTTTTAACACTTGGAAAAATTCGTTTATTTGGCTGGTTTCGAAAACTTTGCCAATCTGTAGAAACTTTGTTGCTGTTTAATGTTTCCATTTTCAGATTTTTTGATATGGTTTGCTTCCTTGTAACAAATAGGGAGTTCATAGATTCAACAGCTATGTTTCCCTCAAATAAACTGAAACTGATAAATGAAAATATTTCAGAGGTTAAAATCCCCAGTCATTATCTTAACATCGAAAGCAGATTCGGGAATTAATTAAAAGATTTTACCGAGTTGGACAGCATCACTGGCTGAAGAGTTTGCATATTTTAGATACAACCAATAGTTGCCTTTACTTGCGACGAAAAAATAATCCATGCACAGCAGGAGTTCCGTGCGAATGAGGAGACATCCGGGAACTGGGGAGAGTGTTTCAGGTAGGATCTAGGATAAAGCAGGCGACCGCCCCCACGCCTAGTTGTGCGGTTTCGGCGTAGAGATCAGTCTTCTTTAATCAGAGGAGTCAGAAATTAGAGAATGAACTCAGAATTCCGTGTAAAACATAATATCAAACGTCATTTTCAGAGCAACAGCTCTGATTTGGACCCTTTCGTTTATAGCACATTTGGCATTTAATAATATAATATCCAGTGTGATTTCGAATAAATGAATATATAGTTTTATTGGAAGACGCTTTGGACCCCATCAAAGAGAAAGCTCGACAACCTGGAGATGCCGGGGATCGAACCCGGGGCCTCTCGCATGCAAAGCGAGCGCTCTACCACTGAGCTACATCCCCGACGAAAACTGTTCGACACACATCCATAGATTGTCTGGTCTGTCGAATATCCACTAGAATTGCCTGAGTAACTGTCCGTATAATGCGATAGCTAGGTGCTTAGCAGAGAAACTCTGGCCCCTAAAGTTTCAACCAACATCATGTAGCTAGCGGAATGCCTACGAGCGCATTGGAGATGTCGGCTCAAATACAAAGAGAATCCCGATGTTCTATCTGGACATCCCACCACTTCTCGCAAACGGCTCACTCACAGAGGCAGTCATTCGCAACTTCGAACACCTGTCAGCCAATCAGCAGGAAAGATGAAAACCGATGGAAACAATAAAATCTGCACATTTTGTGCAGTTCCTTTCGACAACCAACTATTTCAGTTCAGTTCAGTTTATTGAGGGAAATAGGCGTAAGCATTTGAGTACCCTATTTGCAACGTAAAAAAGTGTGGTATACAGATAACATTTTTGGGCTGAAATAGTTTAAACAAGCCCATAATGGTAGGACAAAAAGAGAACGAGTTGCAGGGGGTGAGCTCTACTTCTCATCGCTCTTGGTCATTTCGGAACATAAATATGCATAAATACTTTTTAAAACTTTGTATAGATGGTGACATCACAACATCTGTGGGAAGGGCATTTTATGGTTTGACCATTCGAACAGAGAAGGAGAACTTCCGCACATCCAGCCTTGCCTGCTGAGTGCGCAGTTTTAGCGGGTGTACTCGGAGGTTGGCCGTGGTCCCCGAAGGCAAGACTGCAATCCAACCCCTTAACAATGCGGAAGGCTTGCAAGAGATCCCCAAGAGGTTGCCTGTAACTCAAAGGAAAGAGGTTTAGAGTTACTAGGCGGGTCGCATAAGGAAAGGAGCTTTGACCCCTGACCATCTTCGTGGCTCTCCTCTGGACTCTTTCGAGGCAGTTTTGATCCTCAACCGCCCACGGCCTCCAGCCTTGTATGCCGTACTCTAAATACGGTCGGACGAATGTTTCGAATGTCTTTAAGAAAACATCTTCGTCAAAGTCCATAAACGCACGCTTGATGGCGTACAGTACTGACATTGCGGTTTTTGCCACTCTCGTGCAGTTGGCGGATGGTTTTAGAGAACTGGCGGTTAGCAGACCGAGGTCCTTTTGGGCTTCGACATCTTTTAAGGCTGCACCGGCCAGAAAGTAGTCTCTTGTGCTTTCGGATCTGGCTATGTTGCCTAGGCAACGTTGAACCGCAGGAGCCAACGGTTTGACCACTTCTGCAACCGATTCAATTTCATCTGCAGCCTGTCTTCGTCGGCAGTACCCCGAATTACAATCCGTGTCTTCATTTCATCGGCAAACATTGCTACGTCGCAGTCTGATGCTCTTGCGGCATCGTCCACGTAGATAAGGAACAAAATGGGTCCCAGTACTGAACCCTGGGGGGCACCA